AAACGCTTCCTCTCACAATAGGTTGTTTGGAGGGAGGGAGGGAGAGATAGAGGGAGAGGGTGAGAGGTAAGGGAGACAGGGGAAGGAGAGGGAGACAGCGGGAGGAAAGGAAGATAGGAAGAGGAGAATAGATAGGGGGAGACGAGATGCCGAAGAGAGAGAAATGGATGGATGGATGGAATAAACACACTATATAAAACATACAATAAAACATACAGCACATTATTATACAGTACACCTCATGCAACACACACTCGTAAATGGGGTAAGGTGAAGCCACACACACACACACACACACAGTTTAAACGGAGTCAATAATCTTCAACAGAGAGAGAGAGAGAGAGAGAGAGAGAGAGAGAGAGAGAGAGAGAGAGAGAGAGTGTGTGTGTGTGTGTGTGTGTGTGTGTGTGTGTAAGGATCTCATTGTTAAGCCTGCGTGTTTTTTCTCTGTTTTATTACAAGATAAGTTATAATTATATTCTATCACCTCTGTGACATTTGGACAAGTTTAAGTGTGTTTTAATGCCTCTGTTGACGGTGTTTTTATGTATAAGCCCGTGTGTTTTATAGCCTATTTTACTGTGTTTTATTTCTGTTTTAAAGGTCTGTGTAACATAAATATACTAAGTTTGTGCCAACCATTTTAAAAAAACCTGTCTGTATATCATTACTGTGTTTGTTTTTATTACAACTCGTGTTTTACTGCCCGTGACCTGTGTGCATAGTGAGTGTTTGTTTGTTTGTTTTTGTCTGTTTGTTCAGCCGTACGATTGTATTTTTTATCAATGTAGTTAGTGTGTATTACCGTCTACATGTTTATTTTGTTCTTGTTAGTTCAGAAACACTAATGCCTTTATATTTTGTTGTGTTTTAATTTGCATGACTGTCTGCATGTCTGTGTGTTTTATATAACAATGGTGCATCAGTATGTGTGTGTTTCTGTAGTCTGTGTGCATGACTGTCTGCATGTCTGTGTGTTCTTATGGGTCACAGATCATTACTCTGTGTGTGTGTTTATCATGTGACTCCAGTGCATGACTTCCTGCATATTTTTTCCCTATAACAGCTTCATATATTACCGTGTGCATGATTCTCTGGTCCCGTGAATAATATGGCCTGCATGACTGTGCTTTAACACTGCTCTGATTGCCCTGTTGACTGCATGAGTGTGTGTGTGTCTCTCTTGTATATACTGTTGGCTGCATGACTGAACTTTTTTTCTTATGATGACCTACAGGTGTGTGTGTGTGTGTGTGTGTGTGTGTGTGTGTGTGTGTGTGTGTGTGTGTGTGTGTGTGTGTGTGTGTGTGTGTGTGTGTACGACAGATATATTACTACTCTGTGCTATATTTTTTCTCACTCATAACAGTATGCAATGCTGTCTGGCTGTTAGTCTGTTATTTACTTCCTCATGACTGTATCTTACTTCTTCATGACCTTCCTTCCTTCCTGTGTGTGTGTGTGTGTGTGTTGATTCCTGGCTACTTGTGTGTTCTTTATAGCGGTGTCCATTATCAGCTTCGGCTCCTAAAACATTTCATCAGCTCAGTGTGTGTTTGCCGTTCTGACCTGACTACTAATGTTTTTGTTCAGAGGATGTTGTTTTCCAAGTGTGTGTGTGTGTGTGTGTGTGTGTGTGTGTGTGTGTGTGTGTAACAGGCACGTCCCGTATATCATATATTAGGAGGGTCGTGCGTCACTATCGGGCCGTGTCATCAGTCGTAACTGGACGTTATCACGACACCCTGGCCAACACGAGACTCTCAAGGTCACCGCTGGGGAGAGAGGGGGTGTTACACAGGTGGGAGGGGGGTGTTACAGGGAGGGGGTGTTACACGGTTACACGGGGAGGTGTTACACGGGAGAGAGGGGATGTTACACGGGAGGGAGGGGTGTTAAACAGGGCGTGGGGAGTTAGAGTTTTAAATGTAGAGAGGTGGGAGGAACGAAGTAAATGTAAGGAGGGTGAGGAGGGGGATGAGTGTGTGGGAATGAGGGAGGATCGAGGGGGAAGTCTCAGGTAGGTCGGTAGGTATTGGGCTGAAGGACCTCCTATGAAATCCCGGTTTGTTGTTTGTTTACATTGGATCAGCTGATGGCATTCGATGGCGGTGTTGACGCGAGGTAACAACAGAGAATTTGTTATCGTTGTTTTGCCTCGATTTAATGCCTCGTGACGGAACGACCTCCACCGATCACCCCTGAGATGTGTCTTGTGGAGGTCATGTTTGAAGTGTTGTCTGTGATGTGTCAAGAATGAGGGTGTGTGTGTGTGTGTGTGTGTGTGTGTGTGTGTGTGTGTGTGTGTGTGTGTGTGTGTGTGTGTGTGTGTGTGATACTGACCATTTGCTCTCCTTGGGATTAAAGCCCGGTGAGTCAGGATGGGTCCTTAGCATTGAGGTCTCCAGTTGCTATCACGTTAATTACAATCTTTTTTTTAAAGTTTATCATGATATAGGAGACAAACTAAGGCAGGATATACAAGGGGAATACAGACACCTACCTACAGTTTTCATCCATACAGAAGATACAGGAGTGATTTATGTAGCGTTCTGTAGTTTGTTTTGTTTATATACTTGGGCTCGGGGGGCACTCCAGCTACCTGTTTGGGTGTTTGAGTTGGGTGGATTTGTCTCGTGTTCCAACTAGTGTTTATGAAGGATGTTTAATGGTTGGTGGGTGAGGTGGGTGGGTGGTGGTGGGTGGGTGGGTGTGGTGGGTGGTGTGGTGGTGGGGTGGTCAGTGGGTGGGTGGTCGGTGGGTGGTGGTGGGTGGGTGTGGGTGGGTGTTAGTGGGTGGTGGTGGGTGGGTGTGGGTGGGTGTTAGTGGGTGGTGGTGGGTGGGTGGGTGGGTGTTAGTGGGTGGTGGTGGGTGGTAGTGGTGGGTGGGTGGTTGTGGGTGTTAGTGGGTGGGTGGTGGTGGTGGGTGGTGGTGGGTGGTGGTGGGTGGGTGTTGGTGGGTGTGGAAAAAGGTCGTAAAACGTTAATGATGATGATGATGATGATGATGATGATGATGATGATGATGATAACGACGATAATGATAATGATAATACTAAAGATAAAAACAAAACGATAACAAATAAAATATAAATAATAACATCAAACAAATAATAACAACAAACATAACACAAACAATATCATAAAAATGTTTTTTTAATAACATCAAATTAATAATAATAATAAACGCCCCCCAAAAAAAAACATACAATTTAGCGCGGGAAAGACACAACAAGGCTTCACACACTCAACCACAAAAAAACATTCCCATTACAATAAAATCTTACCGCCACTGACAACATTTTAATCCCGAAACGGTGTGTGTGTGTGTGTGTGTGTGTGTGTAAAACAATCCCTAACATTAATTAATTCCAAGAGTAAAAATAACACTGTTTTTCACCCGCCACTGACACATAGGCCGCTTCATTAAAAAGTTAACTAGTTACCTCAATGAATACAATGGTATGAAAAATAATTATTTTTATTATTATTATCATCATTATTATTATTATATGATAGTTTGTTATGGTGGGGTTTAATTGTTAGTAAATATCATAACAAAATGGTGTTGATGTGCATTTATGGTCGAGTGTTATCAGCTGCCAATGGTATATCATGGTATTAGAAAGTTAACTGTACTAAAAAAAATTAAAGTGATTGCTGGTCTTCTCACACACACACTCCACACATGATTCCTAAAAACCCAAATGTCAATAAAACACTGAAATTCCCACTACATCAATACTAAAGACGCAATAATATTCTGTTGACACTGATACTAATAACGAAAGGTCAGGTGTCCCCTTGTTTTGATAATTTAATAAGAGTTATATAATAATTACATACGGGAGGGTCATTTTCTTTTTTTTTACCCATTTTCCTTTTGCCGGCAGGGGAGACTGTGACAGATGAGAGGAGCCGTGTTGTTTGTCGCAGCTCACCAAACACGAGGGATCTTTTTTAATTGTAGTTATTTGTTTATGAGTTAAATGATTTCTAAGTGTGGGTGGTAGTGTGGTCGCCATGCAGAAGGGAAAAGGGGGAAGGGAAGGAAGAAAGGGAGAGTGGGAGAGAAGAAGAGTGGGAGAGAGAAGTGGAGGGAAAGGGGAAGGATGGACAGGGGGGAGAGAATTAAAGCGAGATAAAGGGGGATAGAAAAGAAGCAGAGTGAGAGGAGAAGAAGGAAGAAATGGGGGTGAAGAAGGGACGAAGGAAAGAGAAGGAGGGAAAGACGGACGGAGAGACAGCAAGAGAGGAGCACCAGCCAGAACGCTACACCAGGCCACGAAGACACGCCGGATGGACTCCCACACTCGACAGGTAAAATTAAAACCCCCACCAAAATTCCCTCCTACCACCCATTATATAACACTGTCTTATACTGGGCAAATTATATAACTCACCCCTATTATATAACACTGTCTTATACTGGGCAAATTATATAACTCACCCCTATTATATAACACTGTTTTATACTGGGCAAATTATATAACTCCCTCTCACCCCAAGGTAGTATATATACGAGGCAGCTGGCTTATAGGGAATGTATATGTCATCGATGCTATAAAACAGGACCAATATATTGTTTTCCAGGCTTGGGGATAATTTAACTCCAGAGAAATTCCGGTTTTATGGATAGATAGACAAAAAAACAGACGAATATTTTGCTTTAAAGTTGGGGAAATAAATACGCCGGCAAAAAAACAAATATTCCCACCATACTTTAAGCTGGGGAGAAAACTAGGGGAAAAAATATATATCTAACCCTTCGTGTTTTACGTGATGGGGAAATATTTTTATTTATTATTATTTTTGTTTACCCTAGTAACGTATATAATGGCGCAGCCTCTAATAAACAATACAATAGTTCATTTAAAATACAACACAAAAATACAAAATCTACAGGTAACACAACAATAGCATCACCTTTAATTAGATACAGAAGGGACCAGGTATGTCTCCACCCCCCCCACCGGACACAACCTGACAGCCATACGTTACCTTTCTGATTAGTCTTTGTTTGGATTCCAGGGTCCGTAGGTCGTCTGTGTTGACGTTCTGGACGGGCGAGCCAATCACGCGGCGCAGTGGGCGTGGCTCCCCGACCCCGCCCTCCCGCTGGAAGATCTGACCAGCCTCCCGGTACACCAGCTGAGAGACCAACTCCCTCCTGCAGGAACACATGGAATACTCTATAAGGATGATGAATATAAAGAAAGAAAGAAAGAAAGAAAGAAAGAAAGAAAGAAAGAAAGAGATAAACACACATCACAGGAAGATCCCCCCCCCCCTCCAAGTTCAATTCACCTGATGATTTAACACACCTTAACGATACCTGTGGGGGAGGGGGGGGGGTAAGGTTAATGTTAGGGTGGTTAATCTTAAGGTTGGAATAAGCTTGAGGGGTTAATCTTCAGGTGATCCTATACTTGTTATGTGGATTCTGATTAACCTCTTGAGTACGATGACTTAGGACCCGCTTGAGTACAATTTTATCTTAAGTCAGGTGCACAGGTAATCGTCCCACTGTAGGAGAAAATAACACACACACACACACACACACACACACACACACACACACACCCAACCCGTACTACAGTCAGATAGAGGAAATCGTTTACACCCGCACCAGCTAACACGACAACCCAATACCTACACACACACACGGTTACTTAATGTCAGGAGTCACTATGAAGGAGAGAGGTTGGATATTACCACGAGTCAACATACGCTGCTTAAAGTCTCTCTCTCTCTCTCTCTCTCTCTCTCTCTCTCTCTCTCTACTACACAGACGCTACACACACACACAAACCCTACCACACACACACACACACCGCGTGATGCCCCTCATAACACCATCTGTGAGGGAATTGCTACACACGTGAGGTCCCTCCTAACACCATCTGGGAGGGAATTACTACACTACGTATTTGCTGTTCAACACCTACATTAATCTGTATGTTCGCTGTACGTTCCTTTACCTTGCTCTAATGAAGGCTTTTGTTAAGCCACCAATGTATGTAATAAGTCATTTAAGTCCAAAGTATATTTTCATCCTTCGGGCTGCAGAACTTTTCAATAAACCGTAAATTATTATTATTACACATGACCACACACGTCTCGCTCATTTAAATACATGATAAAACTACGTCATTAATCATTTTTTTATACAGAATACCTAAGTCTTTCTTGGGGGTCACATCAGTAGGTATTCTGGCAGGCGGTCATCTCCCCCTTGATCCCTCACCGTGACATATTTAGAGTATGGCTTTGATGGTAAGGTATTGCTGACGTTATATGACCCGTGAGGAGCATATGAAAGTACCTACCCCCCCCCCTCTCTCATACAATATACACCCACATACACTTCACAAGGGTAATACACACTCCCTTACTGCCTTCCCAAACACTACACCCACCAATATACACCTTCCCTGTACACCTCCGCCCACCAACAACACACCCAGACCCTTTCGTATTAAGTGGGAGGGTGTGGGTGTGTTCAGGTGACCCGCTCAGGTGTAGTCATTATCAGGTAGTGACACAGGCTACACCTCCTCCTGACACGCATACACCCACACACACACCCCCATTCCCACCCTCACTGTTGCTGATGATGGTAAATGTTGGTAGTTGCTGTGGTAGTGATGGTGGTAGGAGAGATATAGTAATGGTGGTTGCTGTGGTAGTGGTGTTAGTGGTAGTGGTGATGGTGGTGATAGGAGAGTGGGTCATCATAGCAGCTGTAGCGAGGATGAAAATATTGTTCATTTTACTTTTTTTTTACATCAAATTTATACCATTTCATCGTCGACCAACACCCTAACCTCTTGTTATTGTTGCCGTCATTGTTGTTGTTGTTTTTGTAGTTGTCGTTGTTATTGTTATTGTTTTGTTGTCGTTGTTTTTGTCATTGTTGTTTTTGTTCTTGTTATGGTTATTATTTTTGTTGTTGTTTTCGTTGTCGTCGTTGTTGTTGTCGTTATCTTTGTTATTATTTTGTAGATGTCGTTGCTGTTATTGTTTTTGTCGTTGCTGTTTTTGCTGCTCAGGTTGTTGTTTTTATTTGTTTATTGTTTGTTTGTTTTTTTAGAAAGGTGTAATGCACAGGCGAATGTATATATATGTATACTGTACACATGCATACATACATATACATAAATATATCAATAAATTTATGTATGGATAAGTAACTTAATAAAGTAAAGAGGATCTCTCTCTCTCTCTCACCATAACACTGACGTTAACAGAGAAACACAATACTGTCTCACCAGCCAACAGGACCAGCTGGTGTGCGACGCGGAAGACAAACGACATAAGGACGAGCCACTCTGGGTAATAACATACAGACACACCCTAACGCGCTATCTGGAGGCCGCTGACAACCCCCCCCCTCTACCTTGACCACTACTGCCCTCTGGTGGTCTGATACCCAACTTCATAGGCGGAGTACTTGGACCGATAAATAATTTGAAATTTCAACAAATCAAAATGCTAAAAAAAAATGAAACTTCAGAACTTCGCAATGTCAATAACGTGAAACTTGTAAATATAACTCGAAACTTCAGTGCATTAAGATCCAAAGTAAAGTAAAACTTAAGCAATTTGAAACTTCGCCACTTACAACATCACAAACTAAGCAACTACGGTTTACTAAATTACCTGAAACGTCAACACCACAATCACCTCCACAAGCAGCAACGAGAGGCCCATGAAGGCTGTAAACAAACACATACACGTGAACGCTGTAAACAAACACATACACGTGAACGCTGTAAACAAACACATACTTACATAAACACTGTAAACAAACACATACATGAACGCTGTAAACAAATATAACCCTTGGATACCCCCGTTAAAGAGTCGCTAATCCAGATCACTCACCCTTTGTTTACACAGCAGCGGGGCTCTTCTTCCTACGGTGAATATAACCCTTATTTTTTTTTCTCGTAAACTTAACACTAACTCATTATAGAGGTGTTAAGTGATTGCAGGTTAAGGCGATGAGAACACGTGAAGATTAGCTCCCCTTTTCCCCTCCCAACATCCCATTTTTTATTCACTTGATAAACACACTCAACACTCCTACGCACTCGACAGTCTTACGCACTCGACACTCCGCACTCAACACCACACACACACCCAAAGCTTATTAACGCAAGGAGCACCACCACAAAAGGGGGTTTTAGTTCCCCAGGTATTTTATCAATAACATCAACACCTTTTGTCAGCGATAAACACGGCACCTTTAAAATACACGGAAGACCCTTTGTGTGTCGAGATAACAAAAACAACAACTACAAAACTGGTATTAATTTTTATGTACAGTGCTGAAACAACCCGTACGTGAAAACAAATACGCATCGCACCGAACACAATACAATTATTATCCTGGCGTAAAAAATACAATTATTATCCTGGTGTAAAAAATACAATTATTATCCTGGCGTAAAAAATACAATTATTATCCTGGTGTAAAAAATACAATTATTATCCTGGTGTAAAAAATACAATTATTATCCTGGCGCAAAAAATACAATTATTATCCTGGCGTAAAAAATAAAATTATTACCCTGGTGTAAAAAATACAATTATTATCCTGGCGCAAAACAATACAAATATTATCCTGGTGTAAAAAATACAATTATTATCCTGGCGCAAAAAAATTCAATTATTATCCTGGCGTAAAAAAATACAATTATTATCCTGGTGTAAAAAATACAATTATTATCCTGGCGCAAAAAAATTCAATTATTATCCTGGCGTAAAAAAATACAATTATTATCCTGGCGTAAAAAATACAATTATTATCCTGGTGTAAAAAATACAATTATTATCCTGGCGCAAAAAATACAATTATTATCCTGGGGTAAAAAATACAATTATTATCCTGGCGTAAAAAATAAAATTATTATCCTGGTGTAAAAAATACAATTATTATCCTGGCGTAAAAAATACAATTATTATCCTGGTGTAAAAAAATACAATTATTGTCCTGGCGTAAAAAAATAATGAGTGAAAATGTGGAGGGAATTTTATTATTATTATTATTATTATTATTATTATTATTATTATTATTATTATTATTATTATCATTATTATTATTATTATTATTATTATTATTATTATTGTTATTATTATTATTATTGTTATTCTCAAACTACGGCAACACGTTTCTCTCATGTTGGGATTACACGGCCAAAGTACTGCCAATAATAATAACATTCACTCGAGGATTCTAGCCAGTGATACGTAAAATAGCCACAGCATTATCCAAGCCAATGTCAAGCTTAGAAATAGCCAGTCACAACCATAACCCCGCCAGCTATACAACCACAACCACGCCAGCTATACAACCATAACCACGCCACCAATACAACCACAGCCCAGTGACAGACAGCATCACCCCAACCTGCAATAACTTACCATAACTTGACCAATAAAAATCATGCGACAGATACAGCAATGACCAGTAGCCAGTTACAACCACGTAATTAACAACCATAAATTAGCCAACCAACCAGCAATAACCATAACCGTAACTCGACCAATGATAATCGTGCACCAGATATACGCTCCACCTTCATCCAACCGCAACTCAAATATTTGATTCCCTTGATTCTTATTTCTGAAAACTGCCTGTTGTCAGAGACGGTAAATAACCACGCATCTACACCCACCCCCACCCCATCCCACCCCACGCCACCCCATCCCACCCCACGCCACCCCATCCCACCCCACGCCACCCCATCCCACCCCACGCCACGCCACGCCACCCCACGCCACGCATCACATCAACTCACACACACGAACAGTACAGTAAAGAACGACCTCACAATATCAATTCGTTTTGGGAAATATTGCCATAAAATCTGGCAAAAGGGGAGCTGCCACATAGCACTTGTCTGGTGAATACTGTTTTATGCGGTACCTGCGTAATGTGTGGGTGTGTGTGTGTGTGTGTGTGTGTGTGCTTTAGACGACAGGTTGGGCAATCTTCGACTTATCTCTCTATAATGTTACCAAATGATGAGTCTTTTGGTTCCAGATTCGTGGGATTTTTTTTTTATTACGCCATAAATTCACGACTTTAACGATAGTTGTTGGGAACACTTGGCATTCATTCCCATCACACCAACACAGGCGACGAGGTCAACCATTTCTCCTTCTCCTCCCCCTCCCTGACCCGTAAGCTTTAGTATCGGTGTTCCTCATTCCTCCTTTTGGTATTTCATTAGCGCTAGCCTTTGTGGGTCACCATTTTTCCTCACGGGGTATTTCACGCGACTCTGAAGGTGACATTTTCAATATTTTTTTTTTCCAAATCCTTACAAAAACCTGGAGTATAATGAATTCGTTATCTGGGTCACATAGGCGATGATTTTTTACGCTAATGATTGACGGAAACCAGAGATGTTATCCCTGTTGATATATAATTAATGACTATTGTTAAAGGTCAATAATACACTACAGTATAACAACACACTGGTGGTACTGGCCACACCTAGCGGACGTAACGTGAAGGTGTGTGTCCCCAGGCAGGTAACATCACACAGGCAACGTTATGAACAACTCGCCGTTTTTACACTGGTGCCTTTTGACAGCTATACAAAGTGGGATGAAATAAATACGTAAATTTATTCCCACTTATATGGTATCAAGGTTAGTGAAATATACATCAAAACAAACGTAATGAAATATATCACCCACCTACATTATACATTATCTCGGTATTTAGAAATATATCTTTAACCAGGTATTACACAAGTCTATAATGTTACTACTGTATTACTGTTACAGCTAAAACATTACAGTACAGCAAATTTGGTGACAATCATTACTGTGTTACTGGACGACCGTGACGTTACGACGGATGGTGTGCTTAAAATTACTTAGCCTAAATTAACATGACAGGGGCTTAAAGACAAAAACACTCTGACTTGTGTAAATACTTCATCACCAAGTTTAGCTACAGTTAGTGGTTAATTATAAGACTAACTATATCAATAAGGCTAAAGTTGGTTTACGAGGTTAATACACGTGTAGCCGCGTCCGGACAAACACTAAACAAAGGAACAGATTTCATTTACACCCATAACAACACCGGTACACACAAGTAACCCTCATAATATATAATGTCATTCTCTGAGGATTTTAATTTTCTTGTCACAGGTTTCAATTTCTTCTTCCGAATCTCATTAAATCAAGAAAAAAACATACACGATTTTACATATTTCTCCATAAGGCCTCCAGTCACACGTTCAAGATGTGAGTTAGTGAATTTGGTTATAACATTACAGCGTCAAGTGTGAGTAAGAACATGGCTGTGTGTTTAAGTGTGAAATATTATGATGGTAACACACTGCCTAACATACACTCACTGGCTCACCGCTCACATACGCGGTAAATTGACTCAACTTGGGTCTTGAAGTATGTCGTTAGGTGACATGTGAAAACCGTATAGAAACTGGACTCTTTTCTCTTTTTTTTTACTTTTTGCTGGGGGGTCTGAGGGGTGATGGGGTGTGTCTGAGGGTGATGGGGGTGTCCTGTACAATCTACACCCCTAACGCCATTATCAACAACTGTAAATCGGCAAATTCGTACTTTCGATTCACACACACACACACACACACACACACACACACACACACACACACACACACACACACACACACACACACATCCGTCATTCCTGTCATACACTCAAACACGGTCATCAACCAGTCCCCAATTTCTTCATCCAAAATCCCAAATACATTATTGTTGAGATGAATCAGTTCTTGATGTGTGTTGATGGTCTACGTCAGGGGGTGTGTCCTGTGAAGGGTGTGTGTGTCCTGTGGGAGGGGTGTGTCCTGTGGGGAGGGGTCCTGTGGGAGGGGTGTCCTGTGGGAGGGGGTGTGTCCTGTGGGAGGGGTGTCCTGTGGGAGGGGTGTGTGTCCTGTGGGAGGGGTGTCCTGTGGGTGTGTCCTGTGGGAGGGGGGTGTGAGGGTGTGTCCCTGTGGGAGGGGTGTGTCCTGTGGGAGGGAAGGGGGTGTGTCCCTGTGGGAGGGGTGTGTGTCCTGTGGGAGGGGTGTGGGAGGGGTCCTGTGGGAGGGTGTGTCCTGTGGGAGGGTGTGTGTGTGTCCTGTGGGAGGGGTGTCCTGTCCTGTGGGAGGGGTGTGTGTCCTGTGTGGGAGGGTGTCTGTGGGGAGGGTGTGTCCTGTGTCCTGTGGGAGGGTGTGTGTCCTGTGGGAGGGTGTGTCCTGTGTCCCCTGTGGGAGGTCCTGTGGGAGGGGGGTGTGTGTGTCCTGTGGGAGGGGTGTGTGTCCTGTGGGGGGGTGGGAGGGGTGTCCTGTGGGAGGGGGTGTGTCCTGTGGGGAGGGTGTGTGTCCTGTGGGAGGGGTGTGTCTGTGGGAGGGTGTGTCCTGTGAGGGGTGTCCTGTGGGGAGGTGTGTGTCCTGTGGGAAGGGGTGTCCTGTGGGAGGGTGTGTGTGTCCTGTGGGAGGGTGTGTGTCCTGTGGGAAGGGGGTGTGGTGGGAGGGGGTGTGTCCTGTGGGGGGTGTGTGTCCCTGTGTGTAGGGGTGTGTCCTGTGGGAGGGGGGTGTGTCCTGTGGGAGGGGGTGTGTCCTGTGGGGGGGGTGTGTCCTGTGGGGGAGGTGTGTCCTGTGGGAGGTGTGTCACTGGGGAGGGGTGTGTCCTGTGGGAGGGGTGTGTCCTGTGGAGGGTGTTGTGGGAGGGGGGTGTGTCCTGTGGGAGGGGAAGTGTGTACTGTGGGAAGGGAAGTGTGTACTGTGTATCATGTGGGAAGGGGGTATATCCTGTGTAACCTGTGTTGGGAGGGGGTGTATCCTGAGAGCGGCACACGTCAACATATGAACCTATCATGCCTGCGTCTCTCTACCAGGCACGCGAGGGCAGGAACAGTCCTTGTCGTGGATGTCTGTCTGTCTGTCTGTCACTCTACCCTCAGCCTCGCTAAGGTTAACTGTGTCATATTTCACTGACATTAGTACACTAGTTTCATGGCAAACTTTAAATGACATGTGTACATAAGTAGACACGTACATATATATTGATATACAAACACACACACATACAAACACCCACAGACAGATACAAACGCACATACACACACACACACGTTTACCTCTATTACACAGAATAAGACTCGGAGCGAAATTTCCGTGAATAAATAAATTACATAAAATACACCCATTACCAGGAAACACCGCCCCCCCCTCTCTAAAAAGTGTTTATGCTGCCTGTGTGACGCCTGGGAACATTACACCACCGTAAACAACAACAGGACAACCACACACACACACACACACACACACACACACACACACACACACACACACACACACACACACACACACACACACACACACACCTGTCAAATATGCAGACAGGATAACACATATGCTCACCTCCCAACTAAGCTCAGTTATCATGCACCATCATGCTCCATAATGCCCCTTCATGACCGTGCATTACCCCCGCCATAACCGGCAAATGGGATATTATAGTCCGTACGTTAAATTCTGCCCATCCACCGCGCCCATTGAAAGGGTTAAGTTAGGTTAGGTTTTTATTATACGAGTTCAGTGCTGGAGAAATCTGCCAGGAGTAGTTCCTAATGCTTATGGAAGCACGAAAAACGACCAACTAATTATTTTATCCCGTGACAAAAACACAAAAGACAGACAGACAGACAGACAGACAATTTGACAGGTATTCTTTCCTTCAAATTATAAAGTCGAAGGAATTCAAACTACAGCTGTATTTACTGTATTATTGGGCCTCAGAATACAGCCAGGTGCAGCGTTATGTGACTCACGTTCACACCTGACAATTATTGCGTCACCTCCAATTAGCTGTTCTCATCAAGGGTTAAATTAAAACAAACTATATTCTGTGATATTCTGTACCGGTGTGTGTGTGTGTGTGTGTGTGTGTGTGTGTGTATTAATGACACATACGCACACATAAACACAAACAGAGGTAGAGACATTATACACACACAGATACACAGACGCAGGGATATTTTACACACACACACACACACACACACACACACACACACACCTACACACAACAAAGGTGTGCGTGGGTGGTAATCTCTTCACTATTGATAATATCAAACTCGTGTGCTGAGGTACTGACGGGACCACCACACCACATAACACCTCATAACACTTTCCTAAGTCCTCATTGTCCCTCATAACCCATTCATAACTCCTCATAAACCCTCATGGCACATCATAACCACCTCATGACCCCTCATAACCCTACAAACCCCTCATAACACTTCATAACCCCTCATAGCGCCCCAAAAATACCTCATAACAACCACATAACAACCTTCCCTACTGAGACGGTTGTGCTGGTCAAATACAACTGTGCTATCACATTACTACAACCCTACACCACAGCTACAACTACTACACTACACCACAGCTACAACTTTACTACACCCCTACAACAACTTTACTACAACCCTACACCACAGCTACAACTTTACTACACCCCTACAACAACTTTACTACAACCCTACACCACAGCTACAACTACAACCCTACAACAACTTTACTACAACCCTACAACAACTTTACTACAACCCTACAACACAGCTACAACCCTACAACTTTACTACAACCCTACAACAACCTACAACTACAAACCCTACAACACAGCTACAACCCTACAACACCGCTAAAACTTTACTACAACCCTACACCACAGCTACAACTTTACTACACCCCTACAACAACTTTACTACAACCCTACACCACAGCTACAACGTTACTACAACCCTACAACAACTTTACTACAACCCTACAACAACTTTACTACAACCCTACAACACAGCTACAACCCTACAACACCGCTAAAACTTTACTACAACCCTACAACAACTTTACTACAACCCTACAATAATACCTCCAGTCACCATCCGTACGCAAATTTCCACAACAATGTAAAAATCCCAATAACCAATTATACACTGAATAAACACATCAGCGAGAAGTTTATTCCATTCCAGTTTATATAATAAGTCTTTTGTAGAATCTAAACCAAAAAAAAAAATCCTATTGTGTAACTGACTCGCCATATTGGAAAAAAAATAGGTTAATGGACAAACAAACTTAATTTTTTTATGATTTATTATTTTGTTTTAATTAATAGATTCAGTAAAATGATAATGGAGTCTTTTGTTGAACTAAAACAAAAAACAAAAAAAACACGGCTCTCCATTATGTGACTGACCCGCCATATTGGGTAAAAATATATATATATAATACACATAACTTTCACGAGTTTATTCCCATTCAAGTTTCAGTAAAAAAAGAACGATTTTAGTCTTTTGTTGAATGTTAAAACCGACTTTCCATTATGTGACTGAATGATCATTTATGCAATTTTTTAAGGTAGTTTTATACCAAAATTCTGACATCTCGAACAAAAAATTACGAAGACATGAATAGCAATGAGAAAATTGTCGTTTCCTCTATTATTACAGACAGACAGACGGACACATCACGCCAAGGACACCTCTTCCATCAGTGACATCACGAGGCACCACGGGGATATTTTTTTTTTTAACGAGATTATCAGTAAATAATTTTACGTGTAGTTTGACGGTGTTAAAATGTATTACAACTGTGTGTGTGTGTGTGTGTGTGTGTGTGTGATATGAAACACACACACACACACACACACACACACACACACACACACACACACACACTTCCCCTCACCTGCCTCACTATCACACCTTCCCAACATCTTCACACTTTCCCACCAAAATGATAATATCTCCCGTATTAACCAATCATATTCCGATATTTTCCCGCCATAATCATAGTATCTCCCACATTAACCAATCACATTCCGATATTTTTCCCGCCATAATCATAGGACCTCGGCGGTAACCAATCATCTTCCGATATTTTTCCTCCTCCAAGATGATTGCACTTCTTCCTCGACCAATCATATTATAGCCTGTTAATGTCAGAAGGGTTGGCAGCCATGATAAACCTATCGGAAACCGCATTTTTAACCTTCTTTTTTTTTAATACTGGGATCAATTCTGTTTTTGCAAGTTTCAAAACCGATAAGTCTTCACGTTATTATTCTAAAAAGCCGATCCGCAATGATCCTAGAGGTGGGTAGGGAGGAGGGACGGGGTGAGGGGGGGGGGATCAACACACGCACTGCCAACACGCTACAACTCAGACGTGTAAGATCGAGGAAAGAAATTTAATCTCTTTTAAAAGGGATCCGAGAGCCTTACACACTCACGGCGGCAATTACGACCAAGCGTGCCCACTCTTCCACCTCCTCCTCCTCCTCCTTCCCCTCCGTCGCCGCCTCCTCCAGACACTTCATGTTTGTTCCTTTAGACGAGCAAACCTGACGAGTGTAATTATGGAAAACGATTTCATTACAAACTTCCACAAACAAGACGTGTCTACATTAATCATTATACTCCCCTGACCTCTGACCTCTGACCCTGTTGACCTTCCCCAGACTGTGGTTCCTCTCTTGACAAAAACACCGTCACATGCAGCAGTTGTTTCCTCACCCGACATATACCTGACACACAACATGACAGAGGTAGTGGACAAGATGGCGTCGAAACTACACTAGGACTCTACCGTAAATAATGTATTATGTCACCTCGTTAAACTCGGTCCCACGGAGATGACTCTCTCTCTCCATTAATCGCAGGTGTGTTCATATCCAACCTACGAACACACCTGTACAAACCTGCTGAGAGAGAGAGAGAGAGAGAGAGAGAGAGAGAGAGAGAGAGAGGATTAAAACAAGGTTTACCTGCATGTGAGGATTAATTTAGGGACACCTAGCGTTGAAAAGATCTTGTTGCAGTATTTGGCAACACTGTATCACTCTCCCCTCACCCCCTCTCTCTCTCTTCTGTCATTCTTTCGTCTCCTCTCTCCTTCTTATTATCCTCTACTCTTCCCATCTTCTGCACCCTTAAATTTCCCTCGCGGTGGAGAACAGTAACGCAGTGGCCCCCTGGCGGTGGTGGGGACAATAACACTAAGGAACAGGAACAAACTTTAGCATTAAATCAATCGTGATATCACTCGACGGCAACTGAGCGGGTCGGCCCCCTAGCGGTGTGACGTGAAGCTCATCAACCGCAGCTCGGGCGAGAATTAATTGACCTTTTAGGGCAGCGTGGCGGTGATTAGGGCAACGCTGTTAGTGGCCTTAATGACTTTAATGGGATGAGTAACCACGCACACCAAGGCGGCTCAGAGTGCGGGGTGAACCTTCTATAAATTTAAGTGAATTTTTGACTGAATAAAACAGATGAGCACATTAATGTATTGCTAACCTAACCTAACCTACTGAGAGTATATTGATCGTTGTATCTCTCACCAACACAAGATGTTCAGCAGTTGGTTGAACATGGTGATGCCTAACACTCGCCTCCTGCTCTAAGGGTCGGTGGTTCGATCCCGGGGCACCCCTACTCCACCCACCTGTAGTTAGGGAAATAAAGGCGGTCAGGTACAGTGTCGGCCATGTTGTCTCCTTGTGTACGGAAGACTTAGTGTACAGGGTTGTATCCACACTTGCCCAGGAGACTCATTTGGAGACTCACTTTTAATATGTCTGGAAAGCCTGTGTATACTGCAGAAAAGCCGACTGGTAAACCTAGAAAGCCGTTGGGTAAGGCAAGGGGGGGTGAAGGAGCCGGTGGGATGAGTGGACTTTCTCTTTAAGTCGTGGAGGAGCTGGTGAGTCTACTGTAGATGAAGACTCCAACGACTTGTGGACCAACTGACGGGCTTACCACCACCTTCACCACACCACCACCATCCCCCTACTACCACCACCACCACCAC